ACCTTAGACTAGACTATAGACTAGACTATAGACTAGACTATAGACTAGACTATAGACTAGACTATAGACTAGACTATAGACTAGACTATAGACTAGACTATAGACTAGACTATAGACTAGACTATAGACTAGACTATAGACTAGACTATAGACTAGACTATAGACTAGACTATAGACTAGACTATAGACCTAGACTATATACTAGACTATAGACTAGACTATAGACTAGACTATAGACTAGACTATAGACTACTATAGACTAGACTATAGACTAGACTAATAGACTAGACTATAGACTAGACTAATAGACTACTAAGACTAGACTAGACTAGACTATAGACTAGACTATACTAGACTATACTAGAACTATGACCTAGTACGGACTATAGACTAGACTAGACCTATAGACTAGACTATAGACTATAGACTATAGACTAGACTATAGACTAGACTATAGACTAGACTATAGACTAACTATGACTAGACTATAGACTAGACTAGACTAGCTATAGACTAGACTATGACTAGACTATAGACTAGACTATAGACTAGACTATAGACTAGACTATAGACTAGACTATAGACTAGACTATAGACTAGACTATAGACTAGACTATAGACTAGACTATAGACTAGACTATAGACTAGACTATAGACTAGACTATAGACTAGACTATAGACTAGACTATAGACTAGACTATAGACTAGACTATAGCAGACTATAGAACTAGACTATAGACTAGACTATAGACTAGACTATAGACTAGACTATAGACTAGACGATAGACTAGACTATAGACTAGACTAAGACTAGACTATAGACTAGACTATAGACTAGACTATAGACTAGACTATAGACTAGACTATAGACTAGACTAGACTAGACTATAGACTAGACTATAGACTAGACTATAGACTAGACTATAGACTAGACTATAGACTAGACTATAGACTAGACTATAGACTAGACTATAGACTAGACTATAGACTAGACTATAGACTAGACTATAGACTAGACTATAAACTAGACTAGACTATAGACTATAGACTAGACTAGACTATAGACTAGACTAGACTATAGACTAGACTAGACTATAGACTAGACTCTAGACTAGACTAGACTATAGACTAGACTAGACTATAGACTAGACTATAGACTAGACTAGACTATAGACTAGACTATAGACTAGACTATAGACTAGACTATAGACTAGACTATAGACTAGACTATAGACTAGACTATAGACTAGACTATAGACTAGACTATAGACTAGACTATAGACTAGACTATAGACTTAGACTAGACTATAGACTAGACTAGAGACTAGACTATAGACTAGACTATACTAGACTATAGACTAGACTATAGACTAGACTATAGACTAGACTATAGACTAGACTATAGACTAGACTATAGACTAGACTATAGATTAGACTATAGACTAGACTATAAACTAGACTAGACTATAGACTATAGACTAGACTAGACTATAGACTAGACTAGACTATAGACTAGACTAGACTATAGACTAGACTAGATAGACTAGACTATAGACTAGACTATAGACTAGACTATAGACTAGACTATAGACTAGACTATAGACTAGACTATAGACTAGACTATAGACTAGACTATAGACTAGACTATAGACTAGACTATAGACTAGACTATAGACTAGACTATAGACTAGACTATAGACTAGACTATAGACTAGACTATAGACTAGACTATAGACTAGACTATAGACTAGACTATAGACTAGACTATAGACTAGACTATAGACTAGACTATAGACTAGACTATACTAGAAGACTATAGACTAGACTATAGACTAGACTATAGACTAGACTATAGACTAGACTATAGACTAGACTATAGACTAGACTATAGACTAGACTATAGACTAGACTATAGACTAGACTATAGACTAGACTATAGACTAGACTATAGACTAGACTATAGACTAGACTATAACTAGACTAGACTATAGACTATAGACTAGACTAGACTATAGACTAGACTAGACTATAGACTAGACTAGACTATAGACTAGACTAGACTATAGACTAGACTAGACTATAGACTAGACTATAGACTAGACTAGACTATAGACTAGACTATAGACTAGACTATAGACTAGACTATAGACTAGACTATAGACTAGACTATAGACTAGACTATAGACTAGACTATAGACTAGACTATAGACTAGACTATAGACTAGACTATAGACTAGACTATAGACTAGACTATAGACTAGACTATAGACTAGACTATAGACTAGACTATAGACTAGACTATAGACTAGACTATAGACTAGACTATAGACTAGACTATACTAGACTATAGACTAGACTATAGACTAGACTATAGACTAGACTATAGACTAGACTATAGACTAGACTATAGACTAGATTATAGACTAGACTATAGACTAGACTATAGACTAGATTATAGACTAGACTATAGACTAGACTTTTTTTATAGGACGTAGTGATAGTTTGCTAACATCTAGTGGCCCAACGATAACTTCATTATCCAACCCGGGACTACTTTCGCATTACATCGGGCCGGATAATTTATTTATGATGAATTCAAATTGTTCTTCTGTCTATGAAACCTACTCCCCCGTCCTCATTTGAGATAAGGGGTTCGGTAGTTCGATTACTCCTGTTCGTCATTATTTTATGGATGAAATCTTGACATAGTTTCCATGTTCTTTTGGTTTTCTGCATTTCCTGTACTATATTTTCGGGTGTGAGCGTAACCCCAGCAGCTTCGTACAGATCCATTCTCATTTCTCCCCATTTGGCACAGTGAAAAAGTACATGTTCGGCATTATCTTCTAGTGTTCCGCAATCGTCACAGTGAGATTCGGCAACGATCTTAAATCTCTTCAGGTATGAATTAAAGTTACCATGTCCAGTCATTATTTGGGTGAGGTAGTAATTCATTTCGCCATGTTTTCTCGTCATCCATTTTTTTATGTTTGGTATTAAACGATAAGTCCATCTTCCTTTTTCGTCAGATTCCCAGCGTTCCTGCCATTGTGTTAGCAAAACTTCTCTTGCTTCCGTTTTTGTCAACTCTTTGTATGCATTACAGTTTCTCATGTGCGGCAGCATCGTTAGTTTTTTCCATATTTCAGCCTTTTCTAATATGAGTAGGTCCACTGGTGGTATACCTGCAAGTACAAGTGATGCACTTGTTGATATAGTTCTATATCCCGATATTATTCTCAGAGCACTCATTCGTTGTGGATTCTGTAGCAAAGCTGTATTGTTCTTGGTTGTTAATGCAAACCCTATTATTGGCGCGGCATAGAGCATTTGCGAGATCATTACGCTGTTGATTAATCTTCTAGTGGACTCTTTAGGTCCACCTCTGTTTGGCATTATTTTGGCTAAAAATATTAGCTGTTTTCAATGTTTTGTCTCGTATATTTCGCAGATGAACTTTAAAAAAACTATAGACTAGACTATATACTAGACTATATACTAGACCCTAGACTAGACTAGACTGTAGGCTAGACTAAGGACTAGACCCTAGACTACACTATAGGCTAGACTAAAGACTAGACTATAAACTTGACTACAGACTAGACTATAGATTACACTATAGACTAGATCATAAACTAGACTAGACTATAGACTAGACTATAGACTAGACTAGACTATAGACTAGACTATAGACTAGACTATAGACTAGACTATAGACTAGACTATAGACTAGACTATAGACTAGACTATAGACTAGACTATAGACTAGACTATAGACTAGACTATAGACTAGACTATAGACTAGACTATAGACTAGACTATAGACTTGACTATAGACTAGACTATAGACTAGACTATAGACTAGACTATAGACTAGACTATAGACTAGACTATAGACTAGACTATAGACTAGACTATAGACTAGACTATAGACTAGACTATACTATAGAATAGACTACAAATAGATCTATTGACTACAATGTGGAATAATTATCAAAAATTCATAAGATAGAAAATGTGGATGGGTAAGGGGTACCGCGGTATTTTCGATATAAAAAGTACAAAAGTACAGAATTTTCCATGTCTGTTCTGATTCATAAATCATTCAAAACCTGAAGTAAAAAGTGTGAAAGAGAAAACACAACTAGAAAATTTCAGAAAAATGTGACATTATAGCCCTGATACATTCTAATTAGTGTCATAATTAATGCTAATTAATAGTACTTTGTTAAAAAAAGTACAACAACTTCGACTCTACCAGCAATAGGGATCGCAAATTGGAGACGAGAGTTTAGTATTTGTTTATAGAACTGTCCGTCCGAACAGTCTGTAGGTATGTTTTGAAAACAAAATATTTGTTTTAATTTTTAGCAAATTTGTGTGTAAAAAAAATTTTCTCCCTTAAAAACAACAATAAATATAATTTACACGAATTAAACATTTAAAAAATCAACAAATCAGATCAGATCTCAAACGTTGTATTGAATGAAAATCAATACGAAAAAAAATGAGGAATTAAATGAATTTATTTCACTGTTCAATTGTGGCCACAATTTAGTCATTAAATTGAATTGAATTCGTACGTAACGGAACGTCAGTAACGAAAAAAAAATAGCATTATTAAAATTAATATTCTGTATTTTTTATTTAAGACTAAAAATTAAAACATACAAAAACAATAAAATTAATAAAAAAGAATTACAGAAATAAATATTAAATGCAATAAAATAAAATGTATATAGTAAGTGTGTGAGAGATTAAGTGAAAATTGTACAATTTCAAAAAAAAATATGTTAATAAAATACAAAAAAATTTCATAAAAATATCCTGTAAAAATAATAAAAAACCTTCTTCATTTATTTACTTTTTTTCAATAAAATAAAAAAAAAAAAAAAAACTTTTTAATTAAAATTCATGTTTATGACAAGACGTGCGGTTTTTTTTAAATAAATACAAAATATCACTATTAAATGTAATTATTTTTATTTCATTTCCTGCAGCATCATAAAAATATGAATGATATTTCGGAAAATATACCAAATGGTTCAACAGTACCGGGTGGTGGAGGCGGTGGCAGTGTCAGCAGTGGCACAGCCAGTACTGGTCTACCCACTGTCAATGATTTAAACACAAATGGCACTTTTAAAAGTTCTATTGTTATCGATAATCAACCGAAGAGACGTGTTAGTATTGCTTCAGATCCTGCCGCTGAGGGTCGTCATGTAGGCGGTTATGATAATCCAGCGTTTGAACAAAATCCTAGAAGGAAAATATCACAGGTGAGTGTGAATAGAAATAAATTTGTTAAAGAAATTAAATATTTTAGAAAAAAATTCAATTCTTAAAATTTTTGCACACAAAGGGTCAAAGGTGAAAGTTTTTATATTTAAGATTTTTCCTTAAAATGTAATGCTAGTGATAAATCGATTCCTTCAGATTTATGCCTTAATCAAATTGAAGCTGAAAGTTTAGAAAACAATTTCAGAAAGATAAGTTCTTAATCATACAACTGATCAGACTAATGGCGCTCTGTGTGATAGAGATCAGTGTCGTAAGGACTGAAAAACTTTTATCTAATCTATATCAAATGCAAAGTTTATGTAGTTTTACGATCTCAAACAAGACACGTAATATTTTTATTAAAAATATCACTATCACATCCACTCTAAAATTCAATGTATCAAGAGTTCTAAATTATGATCGTAATAATCCTATTTCTGTATGTATTAAAGCTGTCGTGAAAAGATAAAGCGAATAATCGGATTTAAAATTTTCTTTTAAGAATCTTCTAGAAAATGTGATTTCTTAGGAAATCTCCAAACATGATGAATATCGGTTAAGTTTGGAAGGATAATGCACCATAAAGTGCTAATTCCATTAGAAGAATTCCAAAATTAAAATCAAGAAATTAAATAGAAAAACAGGATGACTGTAAGACTAATGAATGGAACACGACTGGTCTCCTAGTGTCTCAAACTGTTTCGTGAACCATTAGATTTAGATTTCGAAATAATTGAAGAATTCGAGATAAGCATATAGAGGGGATTCTCCAACCGAAAATTCGACTGATTCCCTTGATAAAACCTAGCAAAGGCAATACTACCCAATTCGTTGAAGTACCTATTTCCTAGCCATTTTTGTTTGGACTCTATATTATAGGACACAATGCACCATTAAAAGTCTTATCATGTTTCCAATCTAATAAATATCTTGGTTATATGTAGGTCTAACTTAAATCTTGTCTTGCATGTTCACCAGCTTCCTCATTCCTGGTGTCCAAAACAGCTTCATTGTAAACAGTTTACTAAACGACTTGATCCCGTCTCAGTTAGTTAGTTAGTTAGTTTGTTAGTTAGTTAGTTAGTTAGTTAGTTAGTTAGTTAGTTAGTTAGTTAGTGTAGTTAGATTAGTTAGTTAGTGTAGTTAGTTAGTTAGTTAGTTAGTAGTTCGTTAGTTATTTAGTTAGTAGTATTAGGTAGTTAGTTAGTTCGTAGTTAGTTAGTAGTTAAGTTAGTTAGTTAGTTAGTTAGTGATTAGTTAGTAGTAGTAGTTAGTTAGTTAGTTAGTAGTTAGTGAGTTAGTTAGTTAGATAGTTATTAGTTAGTTAGTAGTTAGTAGTAGTTAGTTAGTTAGTTAGTTAGTTTGTTAGTAGTTGGTTAGTTAGTTTGTTAGTGAGTTAGTTAGTAAGTTAGTTAGTTAGTTAGTTGTAGAGTAGTTCGTTAGAGTAGTTAGAGTAGTTAGTAGTAGTTAGTTAGTTAGTTAGTTAGTAGTTTTAGATAGTTAGTTAGATAGTTAGTTAGTTAGTTAGTTAGTTAGTTAGTTAGATAGTTAGTTAGTTAGTTAGTTAGTTAGTTAGTTAGTTAGTTAGTAGTTAGTTAGTTAGTTAGTTAGTTAGTTAGTTAGTTAGTTAGTAGTTAGTTAGTTAGTTAGTTAGTTAGTTAGTTAGTTAGTTAGTTAGTTAGTTAGTTAGTTAGTTAGTTAGTTAGTTAGTTAGTTAGTTAGTAGTTAGTTAGTTAGTTAGTTAGTTAGTTAGTTAGTTAGTTAGTAGTTAGTTAGTTAGTTAGTTAGTAGTTAGTTAGTTAGTTAGTTAGTTAGTTAGTTAGTTAGTTAGTTAGTTAGTTAGTTAGTTAGTAGTTAGTTAGTTAGTTAGTTAGTTGTAGTTAGTAGTAGTTAGTTAGTTAGTTAGTTAGTTAGTTAGTTAGTTAGTTAGTTAGTTAGTTAGTTAGTTAGTTAGTTAGTTATTTGTTAGAGAGTTAGTTAGTTAGTTAGTATAGTTAGTTAGGTTAGTTAGTAGTAGTTAGTTAGTTAGTTAGTAGTTAGTTAGTTAGTTAGTTAGTTAGTTAGTTAGTTAGTTAGTTAGTAGTTAGTTAGTTAGTTAGTTAGTTAGTTAGTTAGTTAGTTAGTTAGTTAGTTAGTTAGTTAGTTAGTTAGTTAGTTAGTTAGTTAGTTAGTTAGTAGTTAGTTAGTATTAGGTTAGTTAGTTAGTTAGTTAGTTAGTTAGTAGTTAGTAGTAGTAGGTTAGTTAGTTAGTTAGTTTAGTAGTTAGTTAGTTAGTTAGTTAGTTAGTTAGTTAGTAGTTAGTTAGTTAGTTAGTTAGTAGTAGTTAGTTAGTTAGTTAGTTAGTTAGTTAGTTAGTTAGTTAGTTAGTAGTTTAGTTAGTTAGTTAGTTTAGTTTAGTTAGTAGTTAGTTAGTTAGTTAGTTAGTTAGTTAGTTAGTTAGTTAGTAGTTAGTTAGTTAGTTTATAGTTAGTTAGTTAGTTAGTTAGTTGTAGTTAGTTAGTTAGTTAGTTAGCTAGTTAGTTTAGTTAGTTAGTAGTTAGTTAGTTAGTTAGTTAGTTAGTTAGTTAGTTAGTTAGTTAGTAGTTAGTTAGTTAGTTAGTTAGTTAGTTAGTTAGTTAGTTAGTTAGTTAGTTAGTTAGTTAGTTAGTTAGTTAGTTAGTTAGTAGTTAGTTAGTTAGTTAGTTAGTTAGTTAGTTAGTTAGTTAGTTAGTTAGTTAGTTAGTTAGTTAGTTAGTTAGTTAGTTAGTTAGTTAGTTAGTTAGTAGTTAGTTAGTTAGTTAGTTAGTAGTTAGTTAGTAGTTAGTTAGTTAGTTAGTAGTTAGTTAGTTAGTTAGTTAGTTAGTTAGTTAGTTAGTTAGTTAGTTAGTTAGTTAGTTAGTTAGTTAGTTAGTTAGTTAGTTAGTTAGTTAGTTAGTTAGTTAGTAGTTAGTTAGTTAGTTAGTTAGTTAGTTAGTTAGTTAGTTAGTTAGTTAGTTAGTTAGTTAGTTAGTTAGTTAGTTAGTTAGTTAGTTAGTTAGTTAGTTAGTTAGTTAGTTAGTTAGTTAGTTAGTTAGTTAGTTAGTTAGTTAGTTAGTTAGTTAGTAGTTAGTTAGTTAGTTAGTTAGTTAGTTAGTTAGTTAGTTAGTTAGTTAGTTAGTTAGTAGTTAGTTAGTTAGTAGTTAGTTAGTTAGTTAGTAGTTAGTTAGTTAGTTAGTTAGTTAGTTAGTTAGTTAGTTAGTTAGTTAGTTAGTTAGTTAGTTAGTAGTTAGTTAGTTAGTTAGTTAGTTCATTAATTAGTTACTAGTGTCTCAGGTGGAATTCGGACCCACTACCTCCGGTCTAACACTAACCTACCGCAGGCCACTCTAGACTAATTAAATGAATACTTTATTGGCCCACCTACGGACTACTCTATAGACTACATTATGTACTGCTTGAACTACTCTATCGACTACTTTTTGGATTCTGAAAACTAGTGCCTTTGGAATACTATGTCGAATGGTCTATAAATTGTATTCCAAATGGTATATTTTTGAACTACTCTATTGACTCTATAGATCTCGTATATTGACTATTCTTCGAACTAGTCTACAGACAACACTATGTACTGCTTGAACTATTCTATCAACTACTTTTTGGACTCTATCAAATGGCTATCAAATGAACTTCTCTGTTTGCTAGTCTGTTGATTACTCCATAAACTGGTATATTGACTAGGAACTACTTTACAGATCAATATACTAACTACTCTATTGGCTAGTTTATAGGTTAGTGTATTGATACTATGTAATAGTCTTTGAAAGATGTTTAAAATACAAAAACTGGTTAATATGTCGTGGATGTATTGTGGTATTTTTGATGTCAAAAAGTGCAATAATAATAATAATAAGTTTTCCACCCTGATGTAGACCTATAAAGGTGCTTAGGTTTCGAACAATACTGTGTATATGATTAATACAGAAACTGCACTTTTCTGTAACTATATAAATATTCTGCCATATAAATGGTTAATTACTTTGGAAAATTTTGCAAATCCTCTCAGAAGTCAGATTTTTTAAACATTTAATGAGACAACACATACATATTCAAACACACAACCTTTTACAACCTAGAACCCGTTTAAATACTTACTACCACTATTGTATAAATATTTACTAGAATGAAAATTTCATTTTGTGGTTAAATACCAGAGTGTGATTTTTAACTCTTTTTTCCCCCCAAATATCTATAAAATTATTATTATTGTTGCTCTTGCTGTTACAACAACAATCTAAAATAATAAAAAATATCAACAAAATAATCGTGTTTAAGTCCTTAACACAATTGTAATACAACTAACAACTAAATAATGAAAACATATTTCAATACAATACAGAAAAACAAGAAAAAAGCAAATAATTTAATTTATTATCTATTTAATTAAATAACTATAATTTTCTAACTCTCTAATAGACTGCATATTTTTAAACTATGAAATTTAATTTACATTTTTTTTCAAATTTTGTACTATATTATTTTTTTAAAATCAAATTTAACACATTTATTCTGCATTTTAATGCAAATGTTTTTATTACATGAATATTTTTATAAATTGTTGCCGCTAATGTTTTTAGTTGAAATTTATATATTTTTATTACTCATTTGTCTATCGCTCAGATTTAAATATTAAAAATATAAATTTTGCTGCAAGTACTAATACATTTATTTATAACAACATAAACAAATTAGTTTGTTAATTTTTTTCTGGATGAAAAAACATAGAAAATGATTTTATTAAATAGAAATATTTAAAATTTAATTCAGCTGAAATGATTTGAATTGTTCAAACAAATACGTTTTTAGGAAATTTTAGTTTTTTTCTGAATTTTAGCTTTATAAAATTCTAGTTCAGTTCTAGTTCAATTCTAGTTCAGTTCTAGTTCAGTTCTAGTTCAGTTCTAGTTCAGTTCTAGTTCAGTTCTAGTTCAGTTCTAGTTCAGTTCTAGTTCAGTTCTAGTTCAGTTCTAGTTCAGTTCTAGTTCAGTTCTAGTTCAGTTCTAGTTCAGTTCTAGTTCAGTTCTAGTTCAGTTCTAGTTCGTTCTAGTTCAGTTCTAGTTCAGTTCTAGTTCAGTTCTAGTTCAGTTCTAGTTCAGTTCTAGTTCAGTTCTAGTTCAGTTTCTATTTTCAGTTCTCGTTTCAGTTCTAGTCAGTTCTAGTTCAGTTATAGTTTCAGTTCTAGTCAGTTCTAGTTCAGTTCGTCAGTTCTAGTTCGTTCTAGTTCAGTTCTAGTTCAGTTCTAGTTCAGTTCTAGTTCAGTTCTAGTTCAGTTCTAGTTCAGTTTCTAGTTCAGTTCTAGTTCAGTTCTAGTTCAGTTCTAGTTCAGTTCTAGTTCAGTTCTAGTTCAGTTCTAGTTCAGTTCTAGTTCAGTTCTAGTTCAGTTCTAGTTCAGTTCTCGTTCAGTTCTAGTTCGTAGTTGGTTCTAGTGTCAGTCTAGTTCAGTTCTAGTTAAGTTCTAGTTCAGTCTGATTCGTTCTTAGTTTTTGTTTCAGTTCTAGCTTCAGTTCTAGTTCAGTTCTAGTTTCGTTCTAGTTCAGTTCTAGTTCAGTTTCTAGTTCCGTTCTAGTTCATTCTAGTCTAGTTCAGTTCTAGTTCAGTTCTAGTTCAGTTCTAGTTCAGTTCTAGTTCAGTTCTAGTTCAGTTCTAGTTCAGTTCTAGTTCAGTTCTAGTTCAGTTCTAGTTCAGTTCTAGTTCAGTTCTAGTTCAGTTCTAGTTCAGTTCTAGTTCAGTTTTTTTCTAGTTCAGTTCTAGTTCAGTTCTAGTTCAGTTCTAGTTCAGTTCTAGTTTAGTTCAGTTCTAGTTTAGTTCAGTTCTAGTTTAGTTTAGTTCAGTTCTAGTTTAGTTCAGTTCTAGTTTAGTTCAGTTCTAGTTTAGTTCAGTTCTAGTTTAGTTCAGTTCTAGTTTAGTTCAGTTCTAGTTTAGTTCAGTTCTAGTTTAGTTCAGTTCTAGTTTAGTTCAGTTCTAGTTTAGTTCAGTTCTAGTTCAGTTCTAGTTCAGTTCTAGTTCAGTTCTAGTTCAGTTCTAGTTCAGTTCTAGTTCAGTTCTAGTTCAGTTCTAGTTCAGTTCTAGTTCAATTCTAGTTCAGTTCTAGTTCAGTTCTAGTTCAGTTCTAGTTCAGTTCTAGTTCAGTTCTAGTTCAGTTCTAGTTCAGTTCTAGTTCAGTTCTAGTTCAGTTCTAGTTCAGTTCTAGTTCAGTTCTAGTTCAGTTATAGTTCAGTTCTAGTTCAGTTCTAGTTCAGTTCAAGTTCAGTTCTAGTTCAGTTCCAGTTCAGTTCTAGTTCAGTTCTAGTTCAGTTCTAGTTCAGTTCTAGTTCAGTTCTAGTCCAATTCTAGTTCAGTTCTAGTTCAGTTCTAGTTCAGTTCTAGTTCAGTTCTAGTTCAGTTCTAGTTCAGTCTAGTTCAGTTCTAGTTCAGTTCTAGTTCAGTTCTAGTTCAGTTCTAGTTCAGTTCTAGTTCAGTTCTAGTTCAGTTCTAGTTCAGTTCTAGTTCAGTTCTAGTTCAATTAATTACTCCTTGCTGGTGTTGGGTATCATATGATTGAAGTTTTTAAAGTTCAGATTTTTGTTTTTTATTTTTGTGTAAGCAATTAATTATTTTATTTTTCTTTTCAGACTTCAGTCCACTCACACACGGAAATTGGTCCGGTTAGACGAAAAAGTATATTAATAAATGCCGTAGGCCATGATAATGAATCAGATCATGGTTCACAATGTAGTTATGGTAAGTTAAAAATTAATTTATAAAAATCTGTTAAATTCCGGGAAACTTAGTCATAAAAGTTTGGTTATATGGGGCCTAATGAAATCATAAGCTTTGTTCCTTTACTTGTCAAGTTTGCAGGTTTTTACCAGAAATTGTAAAAGAGAACAAATTTGAGCAATTAAAATTATTTTCTCTTTGCCAGAACTTGCAGGTTTTAGCCAGAAAAGTTTTTCCTGGCAAATAGAAAAAAAATTGTCAAATAAATTATTTGTTTAAAAAAATACATTGAAAAACAAAAATGTTTGATATTTTTGATTTGTTTTCATAAAAAAGTATGTGTGATTGTAGTTTTTCAATTTTATTTTAATTTCAATAGAAATTTTTATGAATAAACTTCAATACAAATTTATTGAAAGAGAAATTTTGTTTTTTCTGTTCCCGTACTTTTTATAAGTACGAAGAGAAAATTCATTAATTCTCTTTAGCCAGAAAGTTCTGGAACAAAGCTATAATTAGTGTAGAGTGTAATAGGATCCTAATTTTACGATTCCACAAACTTTCTTCACAACCCACGTATTTTCAACCCAAAAAATGTTGTGCGTACGCTATATCTGACTAATATTATTTATTGTTTATTTTTTTTTTTTTTTTTTTGTACATCATAAACAAATTATTTTTTTTTAAATAAAAATCGATTGTGCTGAAGAAAACCAACACGTTGTAAAATTTCAATTGCGACAATATTTCGCGTCACGCCCAATGAAATTTTATAAACAAAGTAACTGTAGACAAATTTACTTAATAAACCATTTAATAACAGATAATTTATAAACACCTTTCTCAGAAAAAAAAAATATAATAAAATATAAATCTATAAATTTTGTGTATGAAGTCGACAAAATTAAGACGCTCTAATATAGTATTATTGTACTCACATCTTGACAATAAACGTTTAAATATTGGGACGTTAATAGAAACCAAGGGTGTATATAGGTTATGGATTTAGGGAACATGGATAATATTTTATAGATACAGTAGTAACACATTCAAAAATTGTTTGTAGATCCATAAAAGTATATATCATAAGATCTTTTGATACGATTGGACCATAAGATATAACAGATGGACCCACAATTATTATTAAGAATGGCTATAACCTCTAAATATTTTAAGTTTTTTTCACAATAATTTCATTTAAAATTAATTTGGCGAAAAAAATATTGCCCCTACTTTCGCCTACAGCTCTGGATCTTGTAATGATTTAATGCTTACAACCAAAAGCTTCTTCCGTTTTATTGAAATTTGTATATATGGATGTATGTATGTATGTACCTAACAGTACAAGGAGAATTTTCTTAATTTTTGTTTATAATTTATGATTCTCGAAGATTATTTTTGTCGTTCTGGTTAAACTTTATAGGGTTTTATTTATTTTCGGTTAAATACTTCTAATACAAATCTGTCGTATTAGAGCGACTGACTGACATGTGATTTATTGAACAAACAGACGAACAAAAAAAACACACGTAACCACAATAATTTATACGCTATTAACTTTATTTCATTTTAAGGCAATTTAAAATTGTAAGAGATTATTTGTTGATTAAAGCAGCAAAGTTTTTTTTAAGTATAAATTTTTTGCCGGCAGTTGTGGATAATCTATAGTTATTTGTGTGTAAATTGATTTATTTTTACGACTATTATTTCTTGTATATGTAGGTACTCTTGTACTATATCAAGAAATGATATAGTACATATGTATTCGATGTTAAATCATTTAGTCCATATGACAGATTTTTCTATAGTCTACAGTTTGTGACATCATAAACATATAATAAATATTATTTTGGAGTTTTTTTATGACTTGATTGCTCTATGGTTTGTTTATGTATGGATGGGACCAAAATGAATTGTTTTAGTGGTAGATCGTATTAGTGAATCCATCCCAAATCATTTAATAAAATTGAACCTACAAAAACTCAAGATTACCCAAATTATACAGATGTTTTTAATAAAATCGCTGATAAAATGGGTCATGTCGTAGAAATGTTTGGCATGTATCAATAAGATCAGGTTGCAGTTCTAGTTTCAGTTCAAGTTCAGTTTCTAGTTCAGTTCTAGTCAGTTTCATAGTTCAGTTCGAGTTCAGTTCTGGTCAGTTCTAGTTCAGTTCTATTCAGTTCTGTTCAGTCTAGTTTCAGTTCTAGTTCAGTTCTAGTTCAGTTCTAGTTCAGTTCTAGTTCAGGTTCTAGTTCAGTTCTAGTCAGTTCTAGTTCAGTTCTAGTTCAGTTTCTAGTTCAAGTTCTAGTTCGTTCTAGTTCAGTTCTAGTTCGTTTCTATTCAGTTCTAGTCAGTTCTAGTTCAGTGTCTAGTTCAGTTCTAGTTCAGTTCTAGTTCAGTTCTAGTTCAGTTCTAGTTCTAGTTCAGTTCTAGTTCTAGTTCAGTTCTAGTTCAGTTCTAGTTCAGTTCTAGTTCAGTTCTAGTTCAGTTCTAGGTCAGTTCAAGTTCAGTTCTAGTTCTGTTCTAGTTCTGTTCTAATTCTGTTCTAGTTCTGTTCTAGTTCTGTTCTAGTTCTGTTCTAGTTCTGTTCTAGTTCTGTCCTAGTTCTGTTCTAGTTCTGTTCTAGTTCTGTTCTAGTTCTGTTCTAGTTCTGTTCTAGTTCTGTTCTAGTTCTGTTCTAGTTCTGTTCTAGGTCAGTTTTAGTTCAGTTCAAGTTCAGTTCTAGTTCTGTTCTAGTTCTGTTCTAGTTCTGTTCTAGTTCAGTTCTAGTTCAGTTCAAGTTCAGTTCTAGTTCAGTTCTAGTTCAGTTCTAGTTCAGTTCTAGTTCTGTTCTAGTTCTGTTCTAGTTCTGTTCTAGTTCTGTTCTAGTTCTGTTCTTTCTGTTCTTTGTTTTAGTTCTGTTCTAGTTCTGTTCTAGTTCTGTTCTAGTTCTGTTCTAGTTCTGTTCTAGTTCTGTTCTAGTTCTGTTCTAGTTCTGTTCTAGTTCTGTTCTAGTTCTATTCTAGTTCAGTTCTGTTCTAGTTCAGTTCTGTTCTAGTTCAGTTCTGTTCTAGTTGTTCTAGTTCTGTTCTAGTTCTGTTCTAGTTCTATTCTAGTTCTATTCTAGTTCTGTTCTAGTTCTGTTCTAGTTCTGCTCTAGTTCTGTTCTAGTGTTTCTGTTCTAGTTCTGTTCTAGTTCTGTTCTAGTTCTGTTCTAGTTCTGTTCTAGTTCTGTTCTAGTTCTGTTCTAGTCTTTCTAGTTCTGTTCTAGTTCTGTTCTAGTTCTGTTCTGTTCTAGTTCTGTTCTAGTTCTGTTCTAGTTCTGTTCTAGTTCTGTTCTAGTTCTGTTCTAGTTCTGTTCTAGTTCTGTTCTAGTTCTGTTCATGTTCTGTTCTAGTTCTGTTCTAGTTCTGTTCTAGTTCTGTTCTAGTTCTGTTCTAGTTCTGTTCTAGTTCTGTTCTAGTTCTGTTCTAGTTCTGTTATAGTCTGTTCTAGTACTGTTCTAGTTCTGTTCTAGTTCTGTTCTAGTTTTCTAGTTGTTCTAGTTCTGTTCTAGTTCTGTTCTGTTCTAGTTCAGTTCTAGTTCTGTTCTAGGTCAGTTTTAGTTTCAGTTTTAGTTCAGTTCTAGTTCTGTTCTAGTTCTGTTCTAGTTCTGTTCTAGTTCTGTTCTAGTTCTGTTCTAGTTCTGTTCTAGTTCTGTTTCTAGTTCTGTTCTAGTTCTGTTCTAGTTCTGTTCTAGTTCTGTTCTAGTTCTGTTCTAGTTCTGTTCTAGTTCTGTTCTAGTTCTGTTCTAGTTCTGTTCTAGTCTGTTCTAGTTCTGTTCTAGTTCTGTTCTAGTTCTGTTTCTAGTTCTGTTCTAGTTCTGTTCTAGTTCTGTTATAGTTCTGTTCTAGTACTGTTCTAGTTCTGTTCTAGTTCTGTTCTAGTTCTGTTCTAGTTTTGTTCTAGTTCTGTTCTAGTTCTGTTCTGTTCTAGTTCTGTTCTAGTTCTGTTCTAGTTTCTGTTCTAGTTCTGTTCTGTTCTAGTTCTGTTCTAGTTCCGTTCTAGTTCTGTTCTAGTTCTATTCTAGTTCTGTTCTAGTTCTGTTCTAGTTCTGTTCTAGTTCTGTTCTAGTTCTGTTCTAGTTCTGTTCTAGTTCTGTTCTAGTTCTGTTCTAGTTCTGTTCTAGTTCTGTTCTAGTTCTGTTCTAGTTCTGTTCTAGTTCTGTTCTAGTTCTGTTCTAGTTCTGTTCTAGTTCTGTTCTAGTTCTGTTCTAGTTCAGTTCTACTTCTGTTCTAGTTCTGTTCTAGTTCTATTCTAGTTCTGTTCAAGTTCAGTTCTAATTCAGTTCTAGTTCTGTTCTAGTTCTAGTTCTGTTCAAGTTCTGTTCGGTTTTGTTCTAGTTCTAGTGTTCTAGTTCTGTTCTAGTTCTGTTCTAGTTCTGTTCTAGTTCTGTTCTAGTTCTGTTCTAGTTCTGTTTCTAGTTCTGTTCTAGTTCTGTTCTAGTTCTTTCTAGTTCTGTTCTAGTTCTGTTCTAGTTCTGTTCTGTTCTAGTTTCTGTTCTAGTTCTGTTCTAGTTCTGTTCTAGTTCTGTTCTAGGTTCTGTTCTAGTTCTGTTCTAGTTCTGTTCTAGTTCTGTTCTAGTTCTGTTATAGTTCTGTTCTAGTACTGTTCTAGTTCTGTTCTAGTTCTGTTCTAGTTCTGTTCTAGTTTTGTTCTAGTTCTGTTCTAGTTCTGTTCTGTTCTAGTTCAGTTCTAGTTCTGTTCTAGGTCAGTTGTCAGTTTAGTTCAGTTTAGTTCGTTCTAGTTCTGTTCTAGTTCTGTTTAGTTCTGTTCTAGTTCTGTTCTAGTTCTGTTCTAGTTCTGTTCTAGTTCTGTTCTAGTTCTGTTCTAGTTCTGTTCTAGTTCTGTTCTAGTTCTGTTCTAGTTCTGTTCTAGTTCTGTTCTGTTCTGTTCTAGTCTGTTCTAGTTCTGTTCTAGTTTCTAGTTCTTCTAGTTCTGTTCTAGTTCTGTTCTAGTTCTGTTCTAGTTCTGTTCTAGTTCTGTTCTAGTTCGTTCTAGTTCTGTTCTAGTTCTGTTCTAGTTCTGTTCTAGTTCTGTTCTAGTTCTGTTATAGTTCTGTTCTAGTACTGTTCTAGTTCTGTTCTAGTTCTGTTCTAGTTCTGTTCTAGTTTGTTCTAGTTCTGTTCTAGTTCTGTTCTGTTCTAGTTCTGTTCTAGTTCTGTTCTAGTTCTGTTCTGTTCTAGTTCTGTTCTAGTTCCGTTCTAGTTCTGTTCTAGTTCTATTCTAGTTCTGTTCTAGTTCTGTTCTAGTTCTGTTCTAGTTCTGTTCTAGTTCTGTTCTAGTTCTGTTCTAGTTCTGTTCTAGTTCTGTTCTAGTTCTGTTCTAGTTCTGTTCTAGTTCTGTTCTAGTTCTGTTCTAGTTCTGTTCTACTTCTGTTCTAGTTCTGTTTTAGTTCTGTTCTAGTTCTGTTCTAGTTCTGTTCTAGTTCTGTTCTAGTTCTGTTCTAGTTCTGTTCTAGTTCTGTTCTAGTTCTGTTCTAGTTCTGTTCTAGTTCTGTTCTAGTTCTGTTCTAGTTCTGTTCTAGTTCTATTCTAGTTCAGTTCTGTTCTAGTTCAGTTCTGTTCTAGTTCAGTTCTGTTCTAGTTCTGTTCTAGTTCTGTTCTAGTTCTGTTCTAGTTCTATTCTAGTTCTATTCTAGTTCTGTTCTAGTTCTGTTCTAGTTCTGCTCTAGTTCTGTTCTAGTTCTGTTCTAGTTCTGTTCTAGTTCTGTTCTAGTTCTGTTCTAGTTCTGTTCTAGTTCTGTTTTAGTTCTGTTCTAGTTCTGTTCTAGTTCTGTTCTAGTTCTGTTCTAGTTCTGTTCTAGTTCTGTTCTAGTTCTGTTCTAGTTCTGTTCTAGTTCTATTCTAGTTCTATTCTAGTTCTGTTCTAGTTCTGTTCTAGTTCTGCTCTAGTTCTGTTCTAGTTCTGTTCTAGTTCTGTTCTAGTTCTGTTCTAGTTCTGTTCTAGTTCTGTTCTAGTTCTGTTCTAGTTCAGTTCTACTTCTGTTCTAGTTCTGTTCTAGTTCTACTCTAGTTCTGTTCAAGTTCAGTTCTAATTCAGTTCTAGTTCTGTTCTAGTTCTAGTTCTGTTCAAGTTCTGTTCTGGTTCTGTTCTAGTTCTGTTCTAGTTCTGTTCTAGTTCTGTTCTAGTTCTGTTCTAGTTCTGTTCTAGTTCTGTTCTAGTTCTGTTCTAGTTCTGTTCTAGTTCTGTTCTAGTTCTGTTCTAGTTCTGTTCTAGTTCTGTTCTAGTTCTGTTCTAGTTCTGTTCTAGTTCTGTTCTAGTTCTGTTCTAGTTCTGTTCTAGTTCTGTTCTAGTTCTGTTCTAGTTCTGTCCTAGTTCTGTTCTAGTTCTGTTCTAGTTCTGTTCTAGTTCTGTTCTAGTTCTGTTCTGTTCTGTTCTAGTTCTGTCCTAGTTCTGTTCTAGTTCTGTTCTAGTTCTGTTCTAGTTCTGTTCTAGTTCTGTTCTAGTTCTGTGCTAGTTCTGTTCTAGTTCAGTTCTAGTTCTGTTCTAGTTCTGTTTTAGTTCAGTTCTGTACCAGTTTGGTTCTTGTTCTGTCCTAGTTTTGTAGTTCAATTCTAGTTCAATTTTATTTCAGTTCATATTTGCTCATTAGGACTCATCCAACCATAATAATCTAAGATTTTCAACACAGTTTATTGTGACGTTAAACAATAACTTACGACTTTCTATGTTATCTACTATTTCCTGTAATGTAAAACCCCACACCTCTTCAAAAGCAGAACACATTGCCAAATAAAATGAATGAATATTTTTTTATTAAATTATTTACTTTGATCCAAAAAAATGATACGCCATAGGGTCTGACGTTATGGAAAGATTATTAACACGAGATTCGAGAAATCAATATATGAAAATCTATTCGAATTATCGATTTTTCGCACTTGTTTATGAATTGTTATAAGTGTTAACTTATTACGTATTGTATCTTTAAAAATTCATGAAAAAATATTTAATTAATTTTTTGGCGCTTCTTAATTTTGACGTAAATGTTATTAAGTTTATCGTTAATTTGTTTTTTTTTCCTCAATGGCATTTAACAAATATTTAATCACTAATTTTAAATGTTAACAGAAAAAGCGACAAAACAATCAACATTTATAGAAAAAAGAAATACGCAACAAATTGAAATATTTAAAAGAAATATTGAATTTGTTGCTTTCTTTTCTCACCTCTTAGATAAACAACTCAAAAGCCTACAAACGTAAATATTTTCAAAATTATGGAAATTTTCCCTTAACCATTATTTGAGCTATTTTTAGTATCTTGGGTTTTACTTTTAACACTTAAATTGTTACGTACGTGGCAAGAAGGCTTTAATCTAAAATCTGATTAATGTTATTTTTAAGTATTTCAAACTAAGCATATAATTAAATCAAGTACATTTTCCAGAACTCTTTAAAATCATTTACAATATTTAAATTATCGCCACTGAACTTTAAGCTCGATGATATGTAAAAATCTCTAAATTTAATCATTATATGACTTAATTAATTTGACAGCTTTAAAATCAAGCACAAGTATTTTAATCAGATATCAAACAAACTGTCAAACGTGAGCACATTAAGTTTAAAAATTTGTTGACTGTTAAATTCGGAACCAACTAAAATTTTCATTGAAATATTTTATCAGTTCTGGTTCAGTTATAGTTCACTTCAAGTTCAGTTCTTGTTCAGTTATAGTTCAGTTCTAGTTCAGTTCTAGTTCAGTTCTAGTTCAGTTCTAGTAGTTCAGTAGTTCTAGTTCAGTTCTAGTTCAGTTCTAGTTCAGTTCTAGTTCAGTTCTAGTTCAGTTCTAGTTCAGTTCTAGTTCAGTTCTAGTTCAGTTCTAGTTCAGTTCTAGTTCAGTTCTAGTTCAGTTCTAGTTCAGTTCTAGTTCAGTTCTAGTTCAGTTCTAGTTCAGTTCTAGTTCAGTTCTAGTTCAGTTCAGTTAGTCCTTAGTACAGTTCTGGTTCAGCTCTAGTTCAGTTCTAGTTAGTTCAGTTTTAGTTCAGTCCTAGTTCAGTTCTAGTTCAGTTCTAGTTCAGTTCTAGTTCAGTTCTAGTTCAGTTCTAGATCAGTTCTAGTTCAGTTCTAGTTCAGTTCTAGTTCAGTTCTAGTTCAGTTCTAGTTCAGTTCTAGTTCAGTTCTAGTTCAGTTCTAGTTCAGTTCTAGTTCAGTTCTAGTTCAGTTCTAGTTCAGTTCTAGTTCAGTTCTAGTTCAGTTGTAGTTCAGTTGTAGTTCAGTTCTAGTTCAGTTCTAGTTCAGTTCTAGTTCAGTTCTAGTTCAGTTCTAGTTCAGTTCTAGTTCAGTTCTAGTTCAGTTCTAGTTCAGTTCTAGTTCAGTTCTAGTTCAGTTCTAGTTCAGTTCTAGTTCAGTTTTAGTTCATTTCTAGTTCAGTTCTAGTTCAGTTCTAGTTCAGTTCTAGTTCAGTTCTAGTTCAGTTCTACCTCAGTTCTAGTTCAGTTCTAGTTCAGTTCTAGTTCAGTTCTAGTTCAGTTCTAGTTCAGTTCTAGTTCAGTTCTAGTTCAGTTCTAGTTCAGTTCTAGTTCAGTTCTAGTTCAGTTCTAGTTCAGTTCTAGTTCAGTTCTAGTTCAGTTCTACCTCAGTTCTAGTTCAGTTCTAGTTCAGTTCTAGTCCAGTTCTAGTTCAGTTCTAGTTCAGTTCTAGTCCAGTTCTAGTTCAGTCCTAGTTCAGTTCTAGTTCAGTTCTAGTTCAGTTCTAGTTCAGTTCTAGTTCAGTTCTAGTTCAGTTCTAGTTCAGTTCTAGTTCAGTTCTAGTTCAGTTCTAGTTTAGTTCTAGTTCAGTTCTAGTTCAGTTCTAGTTCAGTTCTAGTTCAGTTCTAGTTCAGTTCTAGTTCAGTTCTAGTTCAGTTCTAGTTCAGTTCTAGTTCAGTTTTAGTTTAGTTCTAGTTTAGTTCTAGTTCAGTTCTAGTTCAGTTCTAGTTCAGTTCTAGTTCAGTTCTAGTTCAGTTTCTAGTTCAATTCTAGTTCAGTTCTAGTTCAGTTCTAGTTCAGTTCTAGTTCAGTTCTAGTTCAGTTCTAGTTCAGTTCTAGTTCAGTTCTAGTTCAGTTCTAGTTCAGTTCTAGTTCAGTTCTAGTTCAGTTCTAGTTCAGTTCTAGTTCAGTTCTAGTTCAGTTCTAGTTCAGTTCTAGTTCAGTTCTAGTTCAGTTCTAGTTCAGTTCTAGTTCAGTTCTAGTTCAGTTCTAGTTCAGTTCTAGTTCAGTTCTAGTTCAGTTCTAGTTCAGTTCTAGTTCAGTTCTAGTTCAGTTCTAGTTCAGTTCTAGTTCAGTTCTAGTTCAGTTCTAGTTCAGTTCTAGTTCAGTTCTAGTTCAGTTCTAGTTCAGTTCTAGTTCAGTTCTAGTTCAGTTCTAGTTCAGTTCTAGTTCAGTTCTAGTTCAGTTCTAGTTCAGTTCTAGTTCAGTTCTAGTTCAGTTTAGTTCAGTTCTAGTTCAGTTCTAGTTCAGTTCTAGTTCAGTTTAGTTCAGTTCTAGTTCAGGTCTAGTTCAGTTCTAGTTCAGTTCTAGTTCAGTTCAAGTTCAGTTCTAGTTCAGTTCTAGTTCAGTTCTAATTCAGTTTTAGTTCAGTTCTAATTCTTTTCTAGTTTAGTTCTATATCAGTTCTTTTCTAGTTCTTTTCCAGTTCTGTTCTAGTTAAGTTCTAGTTTAGTTCTAAAAATTTTCTTTAAAATGTTTTGTCAGTTCTGGTTTAGTTCTAGTTCAGTTCTATACTTCAGTTCTAGTTCAGTCCTAGATAATTTCTACTTCAGTTCTAGATTAAATTTTGGCTTCAGTTTTTGATCGATACTACTTTAGTTCTGGCTCAGTAATATTTGTAATTTAGTTCCTCATCATTTCATTGAAAAGTTATATAATATCTTTCCTTCTTAATCTTTTTATTCCAGACAACAGACCTTATAGAATTTCAGCATTAGATAATCTACATGCTAAAATATCACAACAACAGCAGTTGGCTACCAGCAATAGTATCGAAGAATCCTGGTTGTACACGTTCTGTTTTAAATGTCGTGGCGAAGAGAACACACCTTCCTGGGAACCACCACACTGGCAAAAAATGTGTCCCTACCCCTTGTGTCCATCATTTAGACAATTTGCCCGCATTATTGTACTCATCTTAATAGGTGTGCTATTATGGATAACAGCATATGTAATTATAGGAGAATCTGCTGCCCCTGGTGGTCAGCTGTTCGGTTTGGTAGTTTTGACAGTGGCAGCTAATTTTGGTGGTTATTTGATATCGCTAACAACGTTGCCGCGTTTGATTGGTATGTTGCTGGTCGGCATATTATTTCAGGTGAGTTTGCAATTCGATTCGTAATAATCAACGCTAAAGTCTAATCAAAATTTTAATTTTTAGAATGTTGGCTGGACCAATTTGGAGGGAGATTTTTCAATAGTTACTGCACATTTGCGTAAATTTGCTTTAACTATTATTTTAATTCGAGCTGGTCTCGAAATGGAACCCGAAGCTTTTAAGAAGGTCTACAAGACCATTTTAAAGTTGGGTATTATTCCTTGGATTTTGGAATGTTGTGTGGTGGGTCTTACCACCCATTTCTTACTCGATTTACCCTGGGTATGGGCTTTCCTTTTGGGTTCTATCATTGCCGCTGTCTCCCCCGCTGTAGTGGTACCTTGTCTCTTCCGTTTGCGTACGAAAGGCTATGGTGTAGCCAAGGGTATACCCACTTTAATTATTGCTGTAGCCGGTATTGATGATGCCTTGTCTGTGGCCATTTTCGGTATTATTAGCAGTGTTATGTTTTCGGATCGTGGTCTGGGTTATCAAATATCTCAGGCGCCCGTTTGTATTATTGGTGGTTTGGCTTTTGGTGTCATTTGGGGTTATATTGCTAGATTTTTCCCCGAAAAAGGTGATGCTTATGTTGTACCTCTACGTACTATTATGTTATTCTCGGGTGGTTTGGTGGCAATTTATGGCAGTGATGAAATCGGTTATGAAGGTGCTGGTCCCTTGGCTGCCGTGTTTGCTGCTTTCGTTTCGAATCTATTTTGGTGTAAACAAGGCTGGGAAGTGGAAGATAATCCAGTGTCGACCGCTTTTGAAATTTTCTGGATGATTTTCGAACCCATACTATTCGGTATTACGGGTGCTACTATTAAGGTGAGTGAAGAAGAGTTTAAAAAATACTTTGATTTAGAAATTAGATATAGTGCAGTTCTATTGCAGTTTTTATTCAATTCTAGCTCAGTTCTTGATTAGTTCTATTTCAGTTTTAGTTCAGAGTTAGTTCATTTCTAGTTCAATTTTAGTTCAGTTCTAGTGCAGTTCCCGTTCAGTTCTAGTTCAGTTCTACTTAAGTTCAAATTCAGTTCAAGTACTGTTCTAGTTCAGTTCCAGTTCAATTCAAGTTCAGTTCTAGTTCTGTTCTAGTTCTGTTCTAGTTCCGTTCTAGTTCTGTTCTAATTCTGTTCTAGTTCTGTTCTAGTTCTGTTCTAGTTCTGTTCAGTTCTAGTTCTATTCTATTTATGATATAGTTCTGTTCTTGTTCTGTTCTAGTTCTACTCTAGTTCTGTTCTAGTTCTTTTCTTGCTCAATCCTAGTTCAGTTCTAGTCCAATTCTAGTTCAGTTCTAGTTCAGTTTTGTTCAGTTATAGTTCAGTTTTGTTCAGTTCTAGTTCATTTCAAGTTCCAGTTCAGAACTGGCTCTAGTTCATTTCAAATTCAGTTGTATTTTTTTAATGTAATGATTTTTCTTCTTACCAGATTTCTGAACTCGATCCCGATATTGTGTCCGTGGGCATTGGTTGTATTGCAATCGGTGTTGTCTTGCGTATCCTCTGTACAGCTGGCATTGCTTTCGGAGATAAGCTGAATATGAAAGAGAAATTCTTTGTTGCTCTCTCTTGGATGTCTAAGGCAACCGTACAGGCTGCCTTAGGACCCGTAGCCATGAAACATTTGGCTGCCGATGCGCCTGAAACCGACAAACACTATGCATATGTAGTGCAAACCATAGCTGTTTTATCTATCGTACTAACTGCTCCCTTGGGAGCCATATTGATCTCGGTGACCGGTACTAAACTGTTAACGAAAACTAAACAACCTCAAGTTGTAGAAGGTAAGTTATAAAAGAGAATTTTTGTCTTAAACTTTGAAACTAAATCAATTTTGTTTAACCTCTAGGTTGGCGCCGCAGTCACCGTCCTTCTATACGTGATATTAGTATCATCGATGAGGAGGAAGAACGTGAAGATCCCGAAATGCCAGAAGATAAGGAGACAGCTGATAATACCCAAAGCAATGCTCATATACCACCAACTCTATCCTATACTTATAATAATAAATAATTTTAAACGGTTTTCGTTTCCTTCCAAATTATATCAGTTTGTTTTTTGGTTTAATTTTTTACTCTGTTTTCTTTTCTGTAATGCTGTTGATTGTTTTCTTTCTTAAGTGTTTAATTATTTAAGATATAATTATAGAACGAAATGTATATGAGCAAAGAGCGAGAAATTACGTTAGAAAAATTGAGTATTTTTACAATCGATTCACAGATTTTCCCAATGACATTCCATAAAAAGAGAGTATAAATAGTCCATAAATTGTTGTTTAGTAATGTTTAAGTTTGAATGTTAATTTAATGTAAATAAATAAATAAATTAAAAAATAAATATAAATAAAAATAAAGTTAGTTTTTCTTTAATATTTTTTTTATTTAATTAAAATATACAAACTATTTTTTTTTTAATCCGAATTAAAACAATTCATTGTTAAACATCTTTACATATTTAATTACAAATATTTTTGTAATGATTCACCTAAAATAACTTCCAATTCTTGCACAGACTTTCGGGTATTCTTCTCAACACGAGGATTTTCATCTTCAAACAGTTCCGCAATGAAGGGTACAGTTTCGGGTAGTAGTGGTGTGAAATCATCTCCCAATTTACGTGCAATTTCCACACAACAGTTGAAGGCAAATATGCGTACTTCCGGTACACTGGTGCGTGTTTTTAGTAAAACCTGATAGTTCAATTGTTTCCACAGAACATCATTGGAAACATCCACCGCCAATTGAGCTATACAGTCACTTAGCAACTTTTGCAGAGAATCTTGTTCCAAAACCAAACGATTTTCCAATTGATCAACAATTGCCGGCATTAAATATTCAAAACGTTGGGCATTAACAAAATCTTTGCTGTCATGCAAGAATATATTGAACAGAGTACCTAAGATGGCCTTCAGAAGTTCTATGGTTAGATACTCGGTTTCAGGTTCTATATCAAATTTATTGGCATTCGATTCATTGAGCAAGCGTGCCGCATCTTCTATGAAATCGTTGGCAAATAACACAAATAACGATTTAAGGGCTTCGGCAATTTTGTTGGTTAGCAGGAAATAAGTTAAAATATTTTCCTTCTGTTGACTGCCCTGTAAAGCCCAGTTGTACAGTTTGTGGTATAAAGGTCTGAAAGAACTTTCCGAGAGTTTTAATACCCAAGCCATGAAAGCCTCAATAATGGCTGCTTCTATGCTATTTATACTATCTATATCCTGTTTAGAATCCTTTAATTGTACGCGGAATTCTAAAGCTTCCATAAACAAAGATGTCAATTCATTGCGTACATTGGCCAAGTCATTATTGTTGGCATTTGTTAAGGATTGGTGCAGCAATTTCATTAGAACACTAATATCGGAATAATTCTTGCTGGACATTAGTTTATTGTATGCCTTTTCACAGCTGGGCACTAAAATACGCACTGGTACTTCAGTAGCGATTTTCGACCAGATTGTACTTATCTTTTGTAAAGTGTTTATAGATCTTTGATCCTTTTCATTGTTCTGGGCCGTTATACGGGTACCAATTGAGCTTAAGGCGGTAATAATGTCCACAATGTATGGTCCCAGAAAGAGGGGTAAAGTTTCGAAGAGTTTTTGCATGCCTAAAAGGAAACAGAAAAAAATATGATTAGTTTTTAAAAAATAAAATAACAAATAATTCTTGTTCAGTTCTATTCAAGTTCTGGTTCAGTTCTAGTTCAGTTCTAGTTCAGTTCTAGTTCAGTTCTAGTTCAGTTCTAGTTAAGTTCTAGTTAAGTTCTAGTTCAGTTCTAGTTCAGTTCTAAATCAGTTCTTGTTCAGATCTTGTTCAGTTCTTGTTCAGTTCTTGTGCAGTTCTAGTTCAGTTCTAGTTCAGTTCTAGTTCAGTTCTAGTTCAGTTCTAGTTCAGTTCTAGTTCAGTTCTAGTTCAGTTCTAGTTCAGTTCTAGTTCAGTTCTAGTTCAGTTCTAGTTCAGTTCTAGTTCAGTTCTAGTTCAGTTCTTGTTCAGTTCTAGTTCAGTTCTAGTTCAGTTCTAGTTCAGTTCTAGTTCAGTTCTAGTTCAGTTCTAGTTCAGTTCTAGTTCAGTTCTAGTTCAGTTCTAGTTCAGTTCTAGTTCAGTTCTAGTTCAGTTCTAGTTCAGTTCTAGTTCTAGTTCAGTTCCAGTTCAGTTCTAGTTCAGTTCTGATCAGTTTCTTGTTGCAGGTTCTAGTTCAGTTCTAGTTCAGTTCTAGTTCAGTTCTAGTTCAGTTCTAGTTCATTTCTAGTTCCATTCTAGTTCATTTCTAGTTCAGTTCTAGTTCAGTTCTAGTTCAGTTCAGTTTCAGTTCTAGTTCATTTCTAGTTCAGTTCTAGTTCAGTTCTAGTTCAGTTCTAGTTCAGTTCTAGTTCAGTTCTAGTTCAGTTCTAGTTCAGTTCTAGTTCAGTTTCGTAGTTCGTTCTAGTTCCAGTTCTAGTTCAGTTTCTAGTTCAGTTCTAGTTCGTTCTAGTTCAGTTCTAGTTCAGTTCTAGTTCAGTTCTAGTTTCAGTTCTAGTTCAGTTCTAGTTCCAGTTCTAGTTCAGTTCTAGTTCAGTTCTAGTTCTGTCAGTTCTAGTTCAGTCTAGTTCAGTTCTAGTTCAGTTCTAGTTCAGTTCTAGTTCAGTTTCTAGTTCAGTTCTAGTTCAGTTCTAGTTCAGTTCTAGTTCAGTTCTAGTTCAGTTCTAGTTCAGTTCTAGTTCAGTTCTAGTTCAGTTCTAGTTCAGTTCTAGTTCAGTTCAGTTCTAGTTCAGTTCTAGTTCAGTTCTAGTTCAGTTCTAGTTCAGTTCTAGTTCAGTTCTAGTTCAGTTCTAGTTCAGTTCTAGTTCAGTTCTAGTTCAGTTCTAGTTCAGTTCTAGTTCAGTTCTAGTTCAGTTCTAGTTCAGTTCTAGTTCAGTTCTAGTTCAGTTCTAGTTCAGTTCTAGTTCAGTTCTAGTTCAGTTCTAGTTCAGTTCTAGTTCAGTTCTAGTTCAGTTCTAGTTCAGTTCTAGTTCAGTTCTAGTTCAGTTCTAGTTCAGTTCTAGTTCAGTTCTAGTTCAGTTCTAGTTCAGTTCTAGTTCAGTTCTAGTTCAGTTCTAGTTCAGTTCTAGTTCAGTTCTAGTTCAGTTCTAGTTCAGTTCTAGTTCAGTTCTAGTTCAGTTTCTAGTTCAGTTCTAGTTCAGTTCTAGTTCAGTTCTAGTTGAGTTCTAGTTCAGTTCTAGTTCAGTTCTAGTTCAGTTCTAGTTCAGTTCTAGTTCAGTTCTAGTTCAGTTCTAGTTCAGTTCTAGTTCAGTTCTAGTTCAGTTCTAGTTCAGTTCTAGTTCAGTTCTAGTTCAGTTCTAGTTCAGTTCTAGTTCAGTTCTAGTTCAGTTCTAGTTCAGTTCTAGTTCAGTTCTAGTTCAGTTCTAGTTCAGTTCTAGTTCAGTTCTAGTTCAGTTCTAGTTCAGTTCTAGTTCAGTTCTAGTTCAGTTCTAGTTCAGTTCTAGTTCAGTTCTAGTTCAGTTCTAGTTCGATTCTAGTTAAATTCTAAATCAGTTTAACTTTTTAAAATCTTGACTTACCCGTCACAATCGCTATGCACACATTGTCCGGTGGATGTGAACGCACTAGTTCTGCTTGATCCTGTAGAATTTCAATCATTTGAGGCATAAACTTCGGCAAATGAGCCAAAGAATGAACCTTCAAATTCGATGAAATCTCTATCATGCACAACACGACAGTGGCCAAAACAATTTTCGAAATGGCAGTACGATGTTTGGCGATTTTCGTGAGGTTACCAAGAATATCCTTAAATTCAGCAATGTGGGTCAGAGCGAAATATTTAGATAACAACTTAATGGCGATCAAAGCGGTCTGTTGCAAGAACACCAATTCATTTTGTTGTGAAGACTCTACCATTTCATCTCTAGTCAAAATACCAGCTACAATATCAGCCAAAGGTTTAAGCAGATTATGGAAATGTTTAGCATCACAGGCCATAAAGTTAACGTCTTTCTGTTGCAGTTTACTGATCAGTAATTCAATAACCTTTTTGCGTATACTCAACAATTGGTGTTGCAGAAGGCCATTGACAACCACCAAAAACATTTCGGGAGAAAGTAAAGAAATGGCATTATCCAGCACATCGTGCAGATGATGTAAAATAACTTTCCAAAACTTTTGCTGGGAGGAGTCTTCCGATTTTTCGATGGTGGCAGTAACCACAGGAACAAACGACAGTATGCGAATAATGAAATTTTGATAGAAAGGTTTCATGATGAGTATATCCTCATCGGTGAGAAGAGCAATTTGACGTAAGAATTCCTGAGCAGAAGTAATGGCCGATAAGAATTGCATGATGACATATTTATAATGACGCAATTGCTTGGCGGAACGAGTGTTGACATCAAACAAATAGGATTCTAGATTGTCCAAATTTTTTAAAGATTTTCTGCTATTAGTTTGATCTTCCTTTTGCATTGGCAATTGTTCTATGTATTTCATAAGTTGTATACAAGTTTCTATGATTGTTTGAGGCTTAAAAGTATTCGTCAATTCCAAAGCAATTTCTATACGTTTAGCCACTTGATCCGCCCCATAGGTGGAAGATTTATGAGATTTCTTCTGTAGTAATCTTTGTTTCTCATCATCAATGACATGGGCGTCAAATACAACACACAAAAACATCCAAAGATATTTGTCAGAATCCAAAGTTTCTATGAGTTTGGTGTAGAGCGGTAGTCTTCTATGTTCGGGTACATCCAGCATAATGTCGGAGAACACCTTGAGTACGGGAACAACAGCTGATTTTTCCTTAACCAAAATGGGTACTATGGATTCTATGATATCATTTATAATGTGAAAACTGAAAGCATCATCATGTCTCACAACTGAAGAGCCCATGAAAGTGAAGATATCCACAATATTGTGCAGCACCTGTTGAGGAAATAGAGCTGCACAGTGAGAGAGTAATAGCAAAGCATTGTGATGAGTTTGAGGATTTTGTGAGGCACGCAAACACTGCACCACTTGATCCATGCGGAAGGTAGTTTTTGGTAAAGCGGTCTGCAGATTACAACCATCTTCAGAGGCTTTTTGGCAGCAGTGCAAAATAGCGGACAATACCAACTGTTTGGTATACTCCACCGTAGTTTGTTCTTCCACGGACAGACAACTATCTAAGAGCTCGAATAGGGCAGGTATCAAATACTCCGAATGTTCTAGTTT